CCCGCCACAACGCCCGGCTATTTTTTGGCTGTAGCCGTCATTGTTGTTTGGCGGGTCCGGGCTGGGGATTCGAACCCGCCACCTTAGGTGTATGTGGCCGGCGCCTTAGCAGCTTGAGCCACAGGCACCGAGCCGGGGTCTGCTCTTAACAGAAACATCATTATGCAAAACATGGCTGTACCTGCGGCCCCTGCCGTGAGGTCGATGGCAGCTTGGATGGCGGGATTGGACTTCATGTTTGCCCACTCCTCCGCTGGTCTCTGTGCAAGGTAACTCTCTAGGGCTTATGACAGGCACTGCATATCCCTGGGAGGAGGCAAAAATTTACTATTAGTGCAGCCTCTACTGCCTCTCCTTCTCTAAGCCAGCATCCAAGTTACTGAACCTGAACTTCTGGAAGCCAGGAAATGGGCTCCACATTGAGCCCAAAGGAAATGGGCTCAAAGTGTGTGCAGATTACTGATTGACCATTCCATAAAAATCTCACAGATCAAAAACTTTCCCTGAGTATCAATGCTACAGCCACCAGTGACACTTCAACTAACCTTTCTGAGCAGCTTAAAAATGAACACCAAGTAAATAAGCCAACCACAGACATCCCAAACAACATTTTCAGAGGTTTTCAGAGGCCTAAGTTGTACAATCTATCCAATAGGCTCAGTTCTAAATTCAGACTGCAGCCTGTGCTGTATGGCCAAGGGGAGGTTACAGAGAGGCGGCCTCAAAAGAGCAGGCAGGCAGAAAGGTTAGGAGTACCAACTCTCATACACCTGGATATGAATGACTGCTCCACCCTGGGGCCTCTAAATCTACAGTACATGGTGCATGAAAATATAATACAAAGGCAATCACAGATAGCCACACCAGACTGATGAGATGCTGAACTGGGCATCATATGCTCTTACTACAAGGCCCAACACAGAACACCAACTGTTTGTCACCACAGTCCACTAAACATGCACCCAAGTCACCTGGGGAGCTTATTAAATGCAGCTTCTCATTCAGTAGGCCTCACAGGGAACCCAAGATCCTGCCTGTCTTAAAAAGTGCCCACTGAGGCTGCTAATGCCAGTCAACAGAATTACACTTTGAGATCAACACGTGGGCCAACAAGTACCAAATTTGCCTGATGAAAATCACATTCATATACTAAGCCTTTCTGTTGGGTATTTTGTAAAGAAAGGGAGATTCTTGGGAGTCTCTAGTCTTTGGCAAAAGCTTTAAAGGGCTAAAAAAAAATTTCTTGGTAGCTAATATTATCTGTACGTTTGGGCTGACACCCAGGAAGTTTGGGAAAACTAGAAATCTATTCCTCAAACTTTAGGCAAAAATCAACTATTGCTGAGGCACAGACTTAATAAATATTGACCGGAAAAAGAAATGGTGGCTCATTAATATAAATGATGAAAGTAAACAATTCAGCAACCAATTCTGTATTGGTTTTCAAGCTGTTTAAATAACTTATTTGCAAATAATAAGGACCAATTTTATTCCTCATCACACTGAGGTGCTGTGTGCTCCCATTCAGGCCACCTCTCCGAGAGGATTGGTGAGTTGGATGCGAAATGAATGCCAATGCCAGCCTAAATATACAGAAAAGGTTAGACACCAAGAAATTTTTTAACCCCTTAAAGCATTTGCCAGCAACAAGACTCCAAGAATCTTCCTTTCTTTACAAAAATTTTAAAGTGGCAACAATAAAGGCACAATACTTAATAAAGCATCTAAGTTAGAAGTACAAGCCATTGATTTTTATGTTATTGATCAAAGACCTGGAGAAACAGTACCATTTACTAGGATGATAAGGTGGTGGCTGTTTGGTATTTCCTTAGAAGATATTGGAGCACTTACCCAATTTTCCCCTTTTCCAGAAGGAAAACTGAGGTCAGAGCAAGAGAAGGTCTTTTCCAAGACCACACAACTAGTCAATGAAAGAATCAGGTCTGTGACTACCAACAAATAACTCCAGAGTATTCCAACTTGGGGTTGGGAGTTTCCAAAACAACACAAAACTCCCAACCCTGCATTTTAGGAAAAAACGGTGGACACAATGCTGCTTCTCAGATAAACCCCAATGCCTTTGTTTCCATTGTCCTGCACACTTCTTTAACTTGGAAGGAAAGTCACGTCACATTCCACGGTACCTGTCAATGTGAACTCAAACCTGTGAGGTGAGCCAAACATCAAATCCTACAAATAACCACTTGTATAATTATTAGGATAGAAAACAGTGGTGGGCGGGCGCTGGCCCCATATACCGAGGGTGGCGGGTTTGAACCCAGCCCCGGACAAACTGCAACAACAACAACAAAAATAGCAGGGCGTTATGGCAGGTGCCTGTAGTCTCAGCTACTCGGAACGCTGAGGCAAGAGAATCCCCGAAGCCCAGAAGCTGGAGGTTGCTGTGAGCTGTGAGCCACAGCACTCTACTGAGGGCGATAAAGTGAGACTCTGACTCTAAAAAAAAATAAAAATAAAAATAACAGTAGTGGGTACTGACAGATTCACCCAGGAGTGGGCAATTAATTCAGATTACATCTAGCTCTGCCTAGGAGAAAACACAAGGCTTGGAGGAGGCAAGAGTCTTCAGCATGAATTAAAACTGGTTTATGAACTTTCAGCAGCACTTAGAATAAAAACACGGAATCCTTTCAGTGCCCTTGGCCCCTCTTCCAACCTACACCAGGTCCGACTCAGCAACACAAAAACATCCGGCCATACATCTTTCTCGATCCTGGTGGAAGTAAATTTTTCAGATGGGAGGTCAGACGTGGCCGCATTTGTCACCAGGGAATACGAACTGCTCCTGAAAGACTCCAGCCCCAGGCTAGGGCGGCGGCGGCTGGAGTCCCCCCGAGGCTGGTCGCCGGGATGCAAACCCGCAGCGCCGCACCGAGCGCGGTCGGGCGCGCCTGCCCCAGCCCCGCGGGCGCCGCCGCGGGAGGCGACTTCCAACTTTCTCCGCGCGGCCCCGGCGCTCGCGGGCTCGCCAGACAGCGCCCGCCCACGCGGGCCCATTCATACGCGGCCCGTGCTCTCGGGCACCGGCGGCGCGCAGCCCCACGGCCACCTGACACGGCCGGGGGGCGAAGGAAGGCGACCTTTTCCTTCAGGTGAGCACCGCGGGCAGACCGAGGACCCCGCGCTCTCCGGCC